GCGCAGCCGCCGCGGGCGGCGGGGCCGCGTCCAGACACGCGGGGCCCCGCAGCCCGGACGGGGAGAGGCGCCGAGCGCGCCGCGAGGGCAGGGAACGCTCCCGCGCGGCGAGAGCAGCGGGCTGCGGCAGGGACGGGCGAGAGGCACCAGAGCTCAGAGCAGCCCCAGACAGGCGCTGCCTTTTTTTTTTTTTTTTTAAGTCTTTAGTTCTTGAACTATTAGATTGTGATGAGCAGTGTGTAAGCTTTATTTGTCATATTGCATAAATTAAAAATAACTGCTGTAGTTGCAGGATTACAGTGAGGATGACCGTGGTCAGGCCGGGGAGGTGGCAGGTGAGAAAGGCTGAGGCAGGCGCCTGCGCAGGCTCTCGCGCCTGGGAGCCCCCTCTAGCCAGGGAATGTGGGTTTCCAACAGGAACCARCCACCAAGGAAGGAGCAACAGCCCCTTCCATGTCCACATCTGGTCCATGTCCCTCCACTGAGGGCCCTGTGGGCTCCAACCTGCAGGGCGAAGGAGGGCGCAGGCCCCACGCAGGGGCTCGCGGGGCAGGGGGGAGGCAGGGCCGGGCCTGCGGTCGCACCCAGCAGCGCCAGCCCGGGCAGCATCAGCGCTGCCCCCGCTGCCACAGGGGCAGAGAGGCGGCCCCGCTGGCCCCGGCTGCTCCCCCAGGGTGACAACCCCACAGCCCCATTAAAGCAAGTGCAGACACCCGCTGAACCCCCTCCCCCTGGGAGGCTGCTGGCCCGGGCACCAGGGTGTGAAGTACCGGAGCAGGGCCCTGAAACTCATCATCCCCTGCRGTGTAAACCAGGATGAAACACAGGGTTTTCTCTTTCATGAAGGGCTCCCTAAACTATGATGGGAACATACTACCATTCCCATCTTTTCAAACTTACTCCCTCCTCTACTTCAGGATTTGGACAGCGAGGGAGGGAAGAACAAGTCACAAAAATTGCATTTTATAACAGCAGTAAAATCTTTTCATTGTGCACCAAAACATTCCTTGTCATGTAACATAAATCCTTACTAACTTGAATGGTTAAACTTTGCTCCTGAATCATTTAATAGCTCTTAGCTGAGAAGARAGGAGAGAGACCCTCTAATAGTCAGCCTTGCTTCCCTGATCTTTTCTTCTTTGATATTGTTTATATGCACACTAACTCCCTCGGAGCAATTTTTCTAACCATTGATATAAAGAAGCTCTGAAGTCACTTCTGCACCTCTAAAAYCCATACTGGGTTTCTAACTGGTTAGAAAAAATACTCCAAGGGAGCAATTCATTCATACTTAGTCAAATGCAGCCCGTAGACAGATAGTTCTCGTTTCTAAATTAAAAAATAGACACCTTCAAAATTCATTTATTTCACAAATCATTCATTTATACATCATCTAGTTATTTTTAGTAAAAAGTATTTTAAGAGTGAAAGTAAAAAAAAAAAATGTTTAAAATATACCTGTTTAATAAAGTCCAGCAAATTTAACAGCTCTTTTAACATGTTCTCACTAAACTTTTTCCCCCATAAAGCACATGTATAGACAGTTCAAAGCAGCCCATAACTTATCAAATCTTTACAACGTTTATAAAACTCAGTCTTTGGAAAAAGCTTACAATGACTAACATGAAAATATAAATGGTACATGGCGAATTTGAGACAAAACTGTAAATGAAGCCTTTGCGCATCCTAGCCCRACTCCAGGGGCTTGCCTAGACCAGGATTAACCTGCGTTATTGGACACAGCTTTAAGCACTTAAGACTAGTTTCCACAAAGTATTTAGATGCACTTTTTGGTTAAAAACCCTACACGTTCCAGTGTAAAGAAACACAGTTATTGCAATTTATTTTTTAAAACCGATACTAGTAAAAATGATTTAATCTCCTAACTGCAAAAGGCAAGGACAGTGCCAAATTGTCACTAGGTATTTCAGGAGTAGAAGAGGATTTTTTGARCAAAATTCACAAAAGACGACGTTGGCTTTTAAAGTGTGAAGTGGCTTCTGCTCTTAGTTTATTCTAGACAGGACGAGAAGCATTTAATCACAGCATCCCTTTGGAAAGAAAAAAAGGTCAATTAGGTATTTGTCTTTATTTATAGATATCATCCATTAATTATATGCAGATTCTGATATTCTTTATCACATTTGTGATTTTGAAATGCAGGATAAACATTTCCGTCACCCAGTGGTGTGTGGTGTAGGACCCTGACAGTCASCACGGGATGAGAGGGCACCCTGCAGCTCAGCTTGCCAAGTCCCATTGCGAGGCTGGTGCAGCTTCTAGCAACAACATTCCGATTCTGTTGTAAATCAACCCTTGTGGWTCCTTTACACAAGGTTTCTAATAGTGCTCTTTGGCACCTGGCGGGTTTGGGTAACCATTTCCTTTAGGAAGGGCAGCCTCTAGAGATTTGTGATGGCTTTCCACATCTGCAAGAAGCTCAGTAATTCATAAAGAAATTACTAGGCAGTTATTGTACCACTCAAAACAGTCTGTGGAAAAGGTAGTTCTTTTGCCCGTAAATAAGACAAATAAAAACAASTGAAGTGATGCACAAAACCAGCTTTTCTTCTGATTAGAACTGAAGCTACTGAGGGTAAGGAGGAAAAGGCCACTGCCCATTAATTCCATTTCCTTTCTGCACAGAATGGGGTATGTTTAAATGGAAAGGAGATTATGTTCCCCTCCACAACATAAAGATAGCCGATTTCTGTTGATTTCTGTTAATAAGGAGGCAATTACAAAAACTCACCTTGCATAAGGAATATATGACAGACTATACCTGAAAAAGAGCAAAAAGTACATACGGATGAATTGTTATGTCTTTCCTAGAGCCCAATTATTTCACTTTACTCCAGCAAGAAAAGCAATCTGTTCTCGTGAATTTCAAACAACATTACTTATCTAATGCTTACTTGAAAAAAGAAAAAACAAACACAAGGGACTTGATAAGAACTAAGTGTACTCCTAGGGGTTTCCTATTTGCAGTTTCTGTTTTTTTTTTTTAATATAGTTTATAACTTTTATTTTAAGCTAAATTGATGAGCAATGGAAAAGAGAAATTTACTATTACCACCAGATTCAAAGTGGATGGAAGTTTGGGGAAAACTGTCCTTCAAGGCAATAGAAATAATTTTTTTTYCCTCTAATTTAGGAGACAACACATATACAGCTATGCAAATATACACCTAGTATTATTTAGGTGTGACAATTGTGTCACATTCCATTACTATCTGCCAGTTGCTTCTCGCAAACCTGAAGGCCGTGGTTTCTCCTCTCCTGCCCAGGCTCTAGGACAGTTCATGAGTGTGGAACTGAACACACAGCAACCGGGTTTTAGCTTCTCCCTATCGGGTATCAAGCATCTACCTGGGTCTAGCACCACACAAATCCACCCCCATCCCCACTAAAGGGTGCTCCGTCCTCCAAGGCGTTCCTGCCTGTGGGGCAAGATCAAACAAAAGCAGTGATCACAGGGGACTGAGTTAAGAGTTGGTACAAACACCCCACCTGGGCCAAGGACACTGCCTAAGCTCAGTTTTATCCCTATGGAGAGGGCAGCAGATCCAGAAACTGTACCAGGCCGCAAGCATTCCCCTAACTGCGCTTGCTTACACTCAGCACAACTGCTGGCTTTGCAGGCAAAACCCTGCACAGAAGGCCTGCAGGAGTGCCAAGAATAAACATATCACAGAACATACCCAGAATTACTATTTTGCCAGGTAACTGCATATAGATTTTGCTGGAGTTGTACAACCTTGCTAAACCAACCAACCAAACATGCTGTTTTAGGCTAGTACTTGGGCAGTTACAGTATGCAAAGTATGTGTACATATRTAACCTCGTGATCATATGGGTGTAGGGGCACGGAGAAGCTAAAATGAATTTTAAATATCTTACCAGGTCATTGCCAAGAACTGCAATATGCAGAATAACACTGCCAAACCTTTTTTACCCCACTAAGTCAAAACAAAACAAATATTGCAAGTTAGTTCATTTTGCATTCGTCAACACCACCAAGTAAAACAGTCTGCTCCGCTGAAAAAGTTTAGTTAATTGATGATGCCCCTTGTCTTATCTCCTCCTTCCTATTCTTAAAACCGATTCTAGTTCCACTTTATCTGTCATCCCATTAACATCTGACTATGGAAATCAATTCGTGGCTTTGAAAAACCGCTGTATGTTTTAACAGAAATATAGAGCACTTTATGGACAGAAGGTATTTTAACTTGCTTTTCTTCACTTTTCCTCAGGAGCCTGCGGACTAGGAACCAACGTTGTAYGTTTTGCATCCTCGCCTGCATCCCGTGCCGGCGGAGGAGCCCGCTCGCGTTGCAGCCAGCCCGCTCGGCGCTCCACCCTCCASCCCAACCCAACTGCAGCTGCACACACAAAGACACTCAAGGGCTCGCCTCTCCTTCACCACTGGCCTCACTGGGAAGCTATGGTACAATCAGCAAGCTAAGCCCCAAGCCCTTTAGAGGAATAAAATATTCTCACTTACCCAGAACACAGCGCAGAGGGTCAATATTAGAGAAAGCTGAGGGGAGATGGGATGAGAAGGAGAAAAACAAACAAAACAAACAAAACAGAATGAATACTCACATATAGAAGCAAGCAGCTGTAGCACAGCTTTTATTTCATTGGGTAATCACTATACTCAAAAACTCACGAAACAAAGAGGCACAGAGTGCTTATATTTTGATTTTTGTATTAAACAACCACAAAATGGTTGAGGTTTGAAGGGACCACTGCAGATGATCTAGTCAAGCCCCATGGATCAAGCAGGGTCACCCAGAGACACCCAGGACCTTATCTCCAGAGAAAGAGGCTCCACAAGCTCTCCAGACAACCTGTTCCAGTGCTSAGTCACCTTCACAATGGGTTTTTCCCTCCTGTTCAGACCTAAGTTCCTGTGTTTCAGTTTSTACCTGTTGCCTCTTGTCCTACTCCAGGCACCACTGAGAAGACTCCAGTCCCATGCTCTCTACATCCTGCCTACAAACACTTGTGTATGTTCACACTGGAACATGGACAGAGCGCTGAAGCACTGGAACTGGCTGCCCAGGGAAGTGGTGGAGTCACCATCCCTGGCAGTGTTCGAAGGAACGTGTAGATGAGGCACTGAGGGACATGGTTTAGCAGTCAGGGTGCGAATGGCTTATAACTGGGCTATCTATGATCTCTGAGGTCTTTTCCAACCATAATGATTCTGTGATTCCATAGAAGTTACCCCCAATCTTATCTTCTACAGGCTGAAGAGACCCAGCTCCTGTAGCCTCTCCTCATTAGGTGTTCCAGCCCATTGATGATGTYAGCAGYGCTCTGCAGGACTCACTCYAGTAGCTCCGTGTCCCTCTCATAGGGGACGGGACCGCACCAGACACAGCCCTYCCGCGCAGCCTGGGGGCCGAGGGCACCGTCACCTCCCTCGAGCTGCTGGCAACGCTCTTCCCAACCTGGCCCTGGGCACCACCGGCCTTCTCGGCACGGAGGGCATCCCGCTGGCTCACGCACAACCCCATCCACAGRGCTGCTTTCAAGCAGGTCACCCCCAGCCTGGGGCGATTCCTTCAAGCTCGTGTTGAGCTTCACGAGGTGCCTGTCCGCCCATCGCTGCAGCSTGGTGAGGACTCTGCATGTGGCAGCCCAGCCTGCGGGGGCATCAGCTGCTCCTCCCAGATGTGCACCCATGAATAAGCTGAGCAGTGTTTTCCAGCACACAAGGGACATGTTGGGACAAGTGTTCAGAAGAAAGAGGAGGCATGAACCGACTTGAGAAACCTGAAGCGCTAAATCAGAAGCAGAGCAAAACTTGCAAAGCCCCATGCCCTACCTACTGGGAGGCTGGCCAAGATGATAAAGTTTCCTTTAATGCAATTAGTCTTAAGAACAGCTTGTTTAACACACCGTTCAGTAGATGGTATCATTTTGAATCTAGTATTCATATCACCAGCATCTGACAAGACAGGTATGTGCGCTGCAATGAACAGCCCATTATTCAACCCCCCCCCCCCCCTCACAACCAGTGCATTTGGCAGACACAGGCCCTGCTTCTGCCAGTGATTTTCATCTTCCAGGAACAAGGAAGGAGAGCGCGCTGGGGAGCAGCTGCCCCGTGCACAAGGAGAAAGCTGCAGGGAGCTTTGCTCAAGCTACTCCTGCAGCTCTCGTCTACTTCCTATCAGCTGGCAGTCTGGGCTCCAAATTGCAAATACAATCTCTTTCCTAAAAATCCTAAAAGAATTCCCATTCATCCTACCCTTTTAAAATAGCACAAGCACCTGAAAACTGGAGTTTCCTTACAGAATAAGCAATSAAAACTTTATAGAAATGTGAATCTTGCACAGGGCAGCTTACWATTGCATTTTTTCCATGTTTTCTTTGCATATTTCATGGAACATTACCCATGGGACAACTTACTATCCAAAATTAATCACATCATCTGTGCAAACCTAACCATCATTTGGAACTATTTTTTTTTCCTCCACTAAAACTCAGCTGGTTCCCACTATGTCACTGTAGCTAACAAAACAGAATGAAGCCCTCATTTTATTTTCACTGAAAAAGAAATTTTGCTATTTTATTAAAAAACCAAATAAGACTATTATTAATTTCTCCAGACACATTTGCAACTCTTGAATTGCCTCCAATTCTAACTTTCTGCTAGGCAGCTCAAAGAGCCAGGATTCCCAAACCTTCTCAGCTACTAAAGAACCTTTGCTCTTGTTAACCTGCACTAAACAGCCTGGAATAGTTTTCTGAGGGGGTGGGGGAGAAAACAGTCAAGATTCACCAAAAGATGCTTTAAAAGTTTTCCAGTTCTTTTCCATATCACYGAAATTTTTCATCCAAACATTCTTAGTTTGCATCCCATATTCATGTTCCCTGTCAGAGGCAAACTTCTAACACTTCTTTTCCCAACCGTGCTGTGCATCTTCTTYGCACAAGTAAGTGGGTAAGTCAATTTTTCAGAGGTTCAGAGTCCCAGCAAGGATCAAGTAACCCCTTCAAAGAAAGTGGGAAAACAAGGGCTTCTCAAATGAGAAAATTGTCATGTTTTTTCCTCATGGGAGGTTTGTGAGAACACACAACCCCTATGGCAGCAGAACAGAGAGCTCACTGAGGGTTTCTTATCCACACTAGCCACAAGCAACTAGAAACATGACAGGGAGAATGAAACAGCTACCAAAGCAAGTGCTAAACTCGTAAGCTGAACAGTCATAACYGACAACTGCCCAGGCAGACCTGGTCATCACATAACTTTGGCAGGAGGTGAATGAAAAGACTTGCTGCAGCCCTGTTCTTTAAGGAATCATTTTAGAAAACAAGCTAAAAATTAAACAACCTAATACTGGGATTTAGTRAGAACTATTTTACTACAAATGATTAGATTAACGAAAGCATAATCAAAAAAAGCATAGACTCACAGAGGAAGGAATTAGGTAATTACATGCAGTTATTCCCTTGACCACTAGCAATCTGTATAAAGGAGATGTAAAGAAATATTGTCCCTTTAGAAAAGCCTCCCATTTAGTTTTAAAATAAAATGGAAAAACTCAACAATGAGCAGAAATAGATAAAAGGTATTAAAAACTAGTTTAAGGTATTAAAAACTATTTTACCAGCATCACAATTGTAGCTATTAATCTTGTTGGTTCAAACATTTTCTTCAGTTGCTTCAGGGGCCCCATCAGGAAACAYGTGCTAATGGGAGAGATGAAAAAACAGACAGTAAGTTGCTTTCAAAAATCAATAAATAAACCCCACAACCACCCACTTTGCAAAAGATCACGTGTAATTAATCAGCTTCCAGCAATTAGATCACTATACATGGCAAGAAAGGCATTTCAGAGTTCAGCAACAGACACCTGTAGCATACAAAGGGAAAGAGTCAAGGAATTTTAGGTCCTAGAAACAGTATCCATATTCAGTCAACTTTAGCTATCAATTTCCTTTGARAGTATTAAATTCATATTCCAGCAAAGCCTAAGAAACTTAATTTTGCCTTTTTTTTTTTAAAGTAGTCATTTGGCAAGACAGTTAACACCAAATGTTTGTCCAAAACTTCCACTTAAACCTCCTATCCAGGTGGCTCTCAAGTAACTACAGTCAAGACTACATACAAAGGAGCTCTAATTTCACCCAAATTCAGCACTCAAGTCCAAGAACAGCAAGAAAAGAAATTAACAGTTTGTACCAAAACCTTCAACTTCCCTTTACAGTGTAGTTATCTGGAGGAAAAATGAAAATAATCAGCAACTCTGGGTCCTCTGTGTTCACACAAACTGCAAGATACAAACAGCACAGCAACCTTTGGTCTTCTCAGGAACCTCCCTGGAAGAATTCCATTAAGAATCCCATGCAAACAGTCTGGAGGGAAGAGGGCTCCAAAAGAGCTGGCTGATTTCCAAGGATCAGCTCCTCTCAACAAGCAGGAAATCAGGCAAAGGCAGCAGAACGCTCGCAGGGGTGAACAAGGAGCTCCTGACTAAAGACATAGAAAGGAAGATACAAGAGGCAGAACCAGGGACAGGTGACATTACAGGCAAGAGGACAGGCTTCTGTAAATGCATGAACAGCAAAAAGGTTAGGAAAAACATGGTCTGCTGCTGAACAGGACAGGGCACTTCTCAATCTCAACTGGTATTTTCAAGGTATGTCCTATCCTCAAGCGGGGCAAGGAGGAGGATCCAGCAGCCATAGACCAGTCAGCCTCACCTCAATCGCTGGGGAGGCAACGAAGCAACCGGTTCTCTTGGATACTGTTTCCAGACTCAGGAGGGACAAAGTGGCGACCAGGAATAGGCAGCACAGACTTGTGAAAGGGAAATGATGCTTAGCCAGTCTGATAACCCTCAACAACAAGACGGACGGTTTGGTGGATGAGGGGAAGGCAGCAAATGTTGTTTATTTTCAGTAAGGCTCTGGACCCGGGGCATCCTAAAGGACCGATAGATGAACCAGCAGGCTAGAAAAAGAGACAGTGAGGGGGACAAACTGGCAGAACTTGGAGGGTTGCCTCAGCAGTGCCAAATCCAACTGGAGGCCAGTCATTAGCAGCACCCCCAGAAGATGGTGCTGGGGGGTAATCCTGTTTTAATGTATTTAACATATTTTAAACATAAGCTGGATGACAGCCTAGAGCACACCATGAGCAAGCTCGCTGATGATGCAAAACCTGGAGTGGCTGCTGCACCAGGTGGGTGCCCTGCCGTTCAGAAGAACCTCCACAGGCTGGAGAAACAGGCAGAAATTCCCTGCTGAATTCAGAGGGAAATTCCTCTGCACCTGGAGAGGAATAGCCCCACAAACCAGCACAGACTGGGGCTGATCTGCTGGAAAGCAACTTGGCAACTTGGCAAAGGAGGAACTGGGGGTCCTGGTGGATGAATGGGACACAGGTCAACAATGTACCCTCATGGCAAGGAGTGCCCACAGTCTCCTGGGCTGCACTGTACTATGAAGAACTTTACCAACAGGCTGGAGGTGACTTTGTGGTGAGGCCACATCTGGAGCACTGGGTCCAAATCTGAGCTTCTTCAACATGTGAAAGACAGGGACATGCTGGACTGAACCAGTGAAAAGCCATGAAGATGATTAAAGGAAGTACTCGACACACAAGAGGAGGCCTAGAGGGTTGGGGCTGTGTAGCGTGGAGAAGAAGAGAGTCGGGGGGGCCTTCCTGGTGTTTATGAATACGTGGTGGGAGGCGTGAGGAAGATGCAGCCAGACTTCCCTCAGAGGTGCCCAAGAGAGCACAAGAGGYGCTAGACACAAACTGAAACTCAGCAAATTCCATTTAAATGCAAGAATACACTTTTTCACCTTTAGGGCTGTTGCACACTGGAACAGGTTGGCCGGAGAGACTGACCAGCTTCCCTTCTTTGGGATACTCCAAACCTGACTAGACTGGGTCATGGGCAACCTGCTCTAAGGTTGCTGCTTGAGCAGAGCTGGTTTGACCAGGTCATCTCTGTTCGTCCCTTTAACTTCAACTATTTTGTGGCTCTCTGAAACAAAATTCATACTCAAAGCAGTAACAATTCTGTCTTCAAGTATATAATACTAGTCTCTTCCAATCATACTGCTAAAGGTACTACTCCAGCAAGAGCAAGAATGATTCTAGATTTGAGGTCTGAAAACTTCACTGTGGAGTCAAAAATGTAAATTCAATCCACTTCCTAGATAATATTGGTTACAAGAAGTGAAAGTCATTTGGGCAGTGTGAGCTCCCGCTCAGAATCAGCCATAAGCCTAGTGAACCAAGCACCTTCTATGGTTAAAGATGAGGATGAGTCTCCCAAGGAGGAGACTGAAACATAATCTCCCATACCAGATGCTCTCCTACTAGCAGCTTTATGAATACATCCCCCTCTCTTCATTTTTAAGGCATACACAGACCTAAGAAATCCGTAAGTTAAAAAGAAAAAAAGACATTTTCTTACTTTAGTAGGAAAGRAAAGAAAAAAACATTTTAAATTTAGCTCACTGCAAACTAACTTTTCTCAATGTTCTTATCTTGGCTGCTGAGCTATAAAATTATGAAAAAAGCCACAATCTTAACTGACTACTGCAAATAACTGAGCAAGAGTTAAAGAAACACAAGGTGAACTTTTATATTCTGCCTGGCCTCATATTTAAAATTTCCTGAACCTCTCCTTTTTCAAAGTATTTTCCAAGGGAAAAAAAAAAAAAAAAAAAAAAGAAGAAAAGAAAGGAAGGTCTCTCTGTTACTGGAAGAGCCCTCTTGCTTTTAACAAGACATCTACAAGTGAAAGACCACCATTTTTTTGGCCAAAACTGAAGTACCTCTGCAACTAGCAGAAAGAAGTCATAAAAAGCCCAGAACATTGAGCCAACAACTTGTTATTCGTGCTCCACACAGCAATCAAGATATCTATGAAATAATCACAGCAGACATAATACYGAGGCAAGAACAAATGCATAACTGATATTCATTAACTGTGATTATGAAGAACTATATAAGATTTTTATGCTATTAGCATTCCAACATAAAAATCAAGGGTGTTTATACTAAGTTCTTGATACAYAAAATGGACAACATTTTCCAGAAATGGTCGAAAATGAGAGCACTTTCTTATTAAGGATAATTATGAAAGCCTACCTGGCTAATGCAGCAATATTTCCCAGAGTATAGAACACTGCAAAAAGTTTGATTCCCTTCGGGAGCCATAGCAATGCTGTTCCCTACACAAGACAGAACATTTGCATGTTTGTAATTAGTCAACTATTTTAAAATGCACAGTACATATTTATTTTCAAAGACTCTGAAGAAAATCATCTTAACATATATGAGCAACACACTGTTCTCAGGAATTTCTTGTTGCCAATACGAAGCAGGCTCCTACAGCCACCTGCTGGCAAAATTATGTATTGATTTAATATATTTAGCAATGTATTTCACAACTATGCAATGTTTACTTAGGTTTTTGTAACACAATTTCAGCTTTCTTAAGATTTGCTAGTATAGATAAATAATGCACAAAGGGAAAAATGTCATAAACACTAACATCTAAAATCTCATTTTCCTCCAGTAAGGCACCTAGACTCAGTCCAGCATTTTACAGAATTTGAAATTAAATATTCTAAAAACTAGTGAGACACTCTCTCAATTTCACTAAAACACTAAAAATCCCAGATTTTCTGATGGTTTTTAAGATAAAGAAGAAACACAGCTTAAGTTACAATCAAAACACTACCCAATTGCAATTTCAGGSGTAATCTTTGGGGTCAATTAGTACAGAGCAGGAAATCACAGAAAGTAGCAAGGGAAGACTAACAAAGACAGGTTACTCTCTGCAGAGATAAATCGAAATAAAATACACTTGTTTGCAGTACTGACCAGCTAAAGAAAACTCATTCATCCCTCAGCTTTGGATATACAAAATCTAAATATCAAGTAAATTCTGAAATAATTTTAGATGTATATTTACATAGCTGTCTCTCTCTCTCTCTCTCTCTCTCTCTAGTATTCTAAATTAGAAAAGGGACTTCTTGATACAGACCTGGCACAATGCCTAAAGTCTGAGAAACAGCAACAAGGTGTAACTGTAATCTGTCCAGAAACTGAGGTTAAAATACTATGTATTTGTGTAAATACTATGTATTTAGTATTCATGCCATTTCATATGAATACTAAAATTCATAATTATATTAGTTATATATTTCTTGGTGCGAAAGGTTGAAGGAAGTTGGAGGGAAGCTTTTACTCAAGTAACCCTAAAAACTAAAGATTTTTAGCCCAAACTCAAGCTCCTCCGTTATGAATTCCATGACCTGTACAACATGCATCTGGCCAGAGTCTGTGCCACTGTACTTAGTATGGATTCAATATGAAGGATACCAACCTCTAGTTCCTTTACAGAGTGGATTATTACTGAAACAAGATCTCTCAGAAAAGACCACAATAGTTCAGGTTTATCTCGAGGTCTCATGCAGCCTTAGCAAACTGAGTTTAGATAAGAAACCAGAGGGTCCCACCCTCAAGAGAATCCAGTGAGTCACTATCATTTAATATTTACCTCAAACAGCAAACAAACTGCTTCTCCACAACTGTTTCCTCCTCCCTGTCAAATATCCCTCTTTGGACTTAGGGAATTTCATGCTAAATGCCAATGAAGCAGCAGTAACCTAAGCAAAGAAGCCAACATAGACAAGGCCAGATCAACYGCTCCACTCTACTGGGAGCAGTTACTACAGGGCAAGACAAACTCCCTGGCAGTCGCCACAAAACCTGCAAGCAGCTGCCTCGTGTGCGAGCCAAGGGGCTGCCTGCTGACTTGCTCTGTGAAGAGCCCAAATCCAACCAATCTTCACTGAAAAAAAAAATCGCATAAGGAGAGAAAATCAGCAATAMCTCTCCCCTATAACCTCAATCCAAATACCCACCCACTCTTATTTCACCTACTACCCTATATGCAGAAGAACTGCCCTGGAGCACCACTTAGCCACATCATGCTTTTCTAGACCCCATCAATTAAGACTTTGACTTTCAACTGCARGCCCGAGCCTCCTTCCAACACTTCATGTTCAAGACCTGAACAAATGCTTTGCCAACCCCAAACCAGCCACAGTGCAGCAGCTTTCCCAGGCGCCAACACGYTCCCACAGGCAGTATTCATTGGTTTGTGTGAGGCATAATGCTGGCAGCTTCTTAAAGCTTTCCCCTTCCGTGAAAGTTAYGAAAAAAAGATTACTAAACAAAAGCTCCTTCCTAGTATGCCACACAGAATGCTACATTGGCCTGGTCTCCTTTGAGGAAGTAAGACTGTCAGAAAATGAACTTAYACACCAGTAGCCCCTATACATTAATTACGTATTTTAATGTCAATTAGGTTTATGGATGCAAAATATAGGCTTCAGGATATAAAGCATGCACAAAAAGTATAAAGTGTTAATATTTATGAGGTTCTACTACAGAACCTTAACAAAAAAACTGTGAAAAAACAAATAAACAAACATACTTTACTTACAAGAATAGAACACGCAATGCCAGCAATAAAACATATGCCAAACCATTTGACTCTGGTACCAAAGCTGAGTGTTGAGGCATCAAGGACCTTGAAAGAAAGGGAGGAATGGGGAAAAAAAAAGGCGAGGGGGGCAGATATTAGAAACAGTTTTGAAACATTTTAATAGTAAAGAAAATGTGGCTTTTAAATGTTTAACTGAAAATAGTTTCCTTCAAAAAAAAAAAAAATCCCAGTTATGTAAACTAGCCTAAAAAACATGGCTRCTTGCCTACTAATCACTTCCTCAGCTACCTCCAACAACCTAAAATTCTCATACAGTTGTTTCAAAGCAGAAAAACGACAGGACTCCAAATGTGCTTGCTTTTTTCTTAAATATTTGGAATATTTAATGGGCAGAGGATCAGATTATTAAAAATAATCTTCATATTTGCCTGCTTGCTGAACACACTGCTAGAACACACCACAGTACTGAATTTTCTGCCCCTTTTTCTCTGTTCAGAAGCTAAGACAGATCTTTCCAAAGGACTGCGGACGCTACTTACCTCATTAGGTCCGACTCTTTATCCTTATGTAAGCATTAAAGAGACAGACAAAAAGAGTAACTAAAACATATTTTAATATTTGAAGCCATATTTAACAGTCATATTCATAAATTCCTATATGGATGGGGAATGGAGGAAGGAAGAGCTGGTGGTAAAGGAAAGATGCACATTTGAATCATGCTTTTGGCTTTATCTGTTCATGCAGCTAATCACACGTACATAAAAAACGTAAAATCCTTTCAGTTCTAGCCCAGAAAGGAAGGGCTGGTGAGCTAAAACTATCAGCTGACCCAACACATGACACACATGAGAGGATGAAGGAAAAGTGTTTCTTCAAGTTTATCAGCTTATAACCTGCAATGGTTATTCAGAGAAAAAATGCTAAGAATGCAGACAAATGAAACATAAAAGGCTSAGAAAAAAAGTCAATTTTAAAATGCAATTTTAAAAACAGCTTAATACAGTAAATACATTTTACAGATATAATTATTAAAACCTTGGATCGGTAATATCATGTGTACATGAACTGCACACAAAGCTAAACAGCATGAGCAAGGGCTGCCAGATCTTAGCAACACAGCATTCACATAATGACAAAACTTGAAAAACAAAAAAAAAGGCATTAAAATGAAGTCTGATCCTCCAATTATCCTGAGACCATTACTATTTATGATCTCAAGCTACACTTAGTTAATGCAATAACCAAAACCATGGAACTCCAGTTTCTCAGTTGCATTTTCTTAGGTGCTGGTGCATTTGGATTTAGTGGAAGTGCAAACTTTGAGATATCCGTTTCACCCTTGTGGTGAAGCACCTTGCAGCAGAAGTGGAATAACAGGTACTTTCTTCAACAATTTAAAACGCACTTAATTTAAAATACAGATTTCAGCCTGTAATCGAAGTGTCAGGCAATGATCTGTTGAAGTTGAGGAAATGGCCCAAGGCTATTGTGCCGTGTCTACTGTATGAGCAGGAATTTCAGGCAACAAGATGGCCAGGAAAGTAACAGAAATACTAGTTTTTTAAGTTTAGTTTTTCACAATTAAATTCAATGGTGACTATGAATAAGAATCCCAAGARAAAGCAGTTTAAGCTGTGTTTACAGGAAAAGCAGTCAACAAAGTCAGGATGATTGGCATATTTCTCTAGCACTATCTGATATAAGCTGTACAGCTCAACCTCAACTTCAGACAAAAATAGCTGGCACACCACTCTACAGTATTTGTAGAGGCAGTAGCTTTTACTTAGAAAAACAGACAAAATTGCWATACTGATTCCATATCTGGAGAGAGTTTCCCCAGAAAAGCTGTGAAGGAGKGTGGGAGGGAATTCCCATAAGGCCTGTCCTTCTTGCTGTGCCACTTGGCAACTTGTTTCTAAGCAATTAACAAAATGAAAGGGGAGAAGGAGAAAGAACAGAAACCCTTGGCTTTCTATAGCTGGGCTTTAATGCCCAACTCCTGGACAAGCAGCAAATATGTTCATCCATAGGAGACTCCAAGAGAACTAAGAAATRAACAAGAGCACCCAGAAATCAGGCAGGAATCCAAAGCAGCAACTGGAATCAGGAAGGCAGACTTCTCAAATCATAAGGGATGCCCTTGCAACAGTCCAACGCACAAGGTGCAAGCGACAGAGAGCTGTATCCCTACAGAACAGGGCATGCTTGCCATGGACACACAATAAATCACACCCAGAAAGCTGCCTTTCAGCAAAACACTTCTTGCTTTTCTGACCTTTAATCTGTGCTCCTATTCCCCTTAAAAATAAGCTTGCAAAAGTTTTCATGCAGGATTTCTTTTTAATCTTTTACAGACTAAGAGCAGCTTCTACCAGTTAATCATTTTTTTTTCTTCACAGCAAATTTAAGTAGCTGAGAAAACGCAAATCCAAAACAGTGTTAGGTAGAGCCAAAGGATCAAGCTCTTAATGTGTCTTAATTATACAGCCATCAGCTATCCCTAAGAAAGGGCTACTGTTTTTAACTAAATGCATCACTATTTCAAGAGTTTAACTAAAATATAGAATGGTTTAATACAAAAAAGTGGAATCCTGTGTTTTTCTTCACAGTCTTATCTTTAAAAAATGATCTTCTCTATTTTTTTYTGCGAATTTCAGTAACTAGTTTTGCTTTACCAACTGGCTTATTTTCCAATATTCTAGCAGATACACGTGTACTGAGAGATATGGAAAATACAGGCTGCATAACCGAAAGAAATACAGGTTGATTCTTGAGTGGTTTCTTCTTACTTCAAAGCAGATCTTTCAGTATCGAGTTTCCATGCTTGCTTCTATAGCATATAGGATAGCTTTTGAATGTGTACATGTTCTTGCTATTTAAGTCTCATCGCATTATAACACTATTATATATAATAATCAAATTATACTATATATAGTTTAGCTATTTGGTTACTAATATTCAACAAATGAGAGTCTCGGCTCAGTTCCCCCTTTCTGAGAACATACATCTCAAAACTAAAATTATTCAAAGTTTAGATATTTATCTTTTGACTCCCRCCTTAAACCAACCATGGCAACATCAAGTCTCTTTATCACAATTTGTGCCACATACAAAATGGTCCTGAAGACTTCTCGGAATTGATATCTGTTAGCATGAAGATTAACAGCAGGGCATTTCTTTGGTAAACCTTGAGAGGAGATCAGGCGAGGCATCCCCACGGGGCCGGTTAACTGGGGTGTGAAGCAGCACGGGCCCAGCCTGCTTCCCGAGCAGCATCACATCTGGATGTGACTTAGCTGCCTTGCCGGGATCCAGAACCTGAGCTCCTGAATCCCGTTGGCCAGCGGCCACTCTGTGCAAAGCCAGGGGCCTCACACCAGCACCAGCGCATCCCACACAGCAGGGACGCGGAGGCAGCACTGGCCAGCAGGGTTTACTAGCCACAGGCCAGACGCTGACTGCCCTGCAGCCCACTGCACCCCAGGACCCTGTTGCTGACAGGACCTGGGTCCTTCGCACAGGCGGCACCTGAGCGAGCAGCCRCCCCAGACAACAGCAGCTGACTTGGCTAAACGTGCAACCAGCTCGTCAAGGGTGTGCTCAGCACCCCGCAAACTGGAAGTGAAACCCTTGGAGGGCACGGTGTTCAAATGCAGCGATAGCCGAGGAAGGTTTCAGGGGGAGGAATAAGAATGCTTAATAGCACTTCAAGGGTATAGTTAAGAAACAAATAATAAAATATATGAACGCATACACAGAGAAAATAGACTTCAAAGCAGTAATACATAAAATTGCCACTGATAAAAAAAAAAGGAGAAAGAAAAGAAAAAGAAGTGTATTTGCCTTTTACAGGTTCAGAAGCACAGAGAAATGGAAAAGCAGTTTAAATAACCCATTGCTCATCTGCGGCCCAGGTACCAGGGCCACGCAGGAAGGAGACAGACACAGACAGATAGACAGACACACACACACACACACACACACACACACACACACACACGACAAGGGCACCCCGTTAACCGGGAGCCAGGCGGGGAAAACGAAACCGTCGAAGCGGAGCCACCAGGGCAGCGAGACAAACTTCTTCCCTCGGAGGCACCTCGGAGCGGGCGGGCGGGTGCCCGGGCGGGGCCCCCACGGCGCAGACACCCCGCGCGCTGCCGCTCGCGCCCCGCGCCCCACGGCTCTCTGCTCCCGACGCGGACACGAAGGCGCCTGCAGCCCCGCGGGGGCGAGACCGGGGCGGCGCAGGCGGGAGCGCCTGGCCGAGGCCGGGGCCGCCCCGGCGGGCCGTACCTGCGCCGTCAGGCCCTGCTCCTCGTCGTCCTGCCCGCTCAGCACCCGCCGCAGCTTCTCCATCGCGCCGCCCGGGCGGGCCGCGGGGCCGCTGCGCTGCGCTGAGCTGCGCCGGAAGTCACGAGCGCGCGGAGCGGGCCGCCCAGAGCGGCGGTTGGGCGGCGGGCTCCGCGCATGCGCGCGGGGAGGGGCGGGGCGGCCGTTGGGCGGCCGTTGGAGGCGCGCTCGCCTCTGGAGCGGTTTGGGTTTGTTCGTTAGGCAGTGCGAAGCGGTGCTTTAAGGGAAATAGATAGATAGATAGATAGATAGATAGATAGATAGATAGATAGATAGATAGATAGATAGATAGATAGATAGATAGTTTGCAAGTGTGTAGTGCACGAGCTGTAACAGTAGGTGCGAGCTCCAATGGTATAGTCACCTTTATGCAAACTGCTGTTGGAGGTGTGTGTTCGTGCTCCCAATGAGAAAATACTTAGGCTGTGTTCACATGCTCATCTGCCCCATGGGAAATACTACGTAACCCACAAGGTCCTTCTGGAAGAACAGCGGATCCTGTGCCTGGTTTAGCTGTGGTCTTACTGCGTGTGTGGTGGAAACAGAGCATGTGTTTGTCCACCTGGTTACAGGACAGGAGGCTCAGTGCAAGCAAAGATGCACGTAATCATTTGTGTCCTATGGAYTGTGTGTGCCTGCTGTGTCCTGCACAAGACCTGCAAGGAAGGTGTGTGCTTTTGCATTGGCACTGGAATAGCAAAGTATAGCTTTTCTAGRAAAGCTATGTGCAGTCCCTTTGGCAAAGTGGTCTTGGCAATGAGTGTAGTAACTGTGTCTGCACGCATGCTGAGGGCTACAAATACACTAAGCTGGTGCAAATGYATGGGGCAGAGGGGAACGTGATTAACTGTGTCTTCTGCTCTCGAACATGACGAGGACATTAAGACAGGGCAGGGTCTCGGTGAGGCTCGGTGTCGCTTGTACCCATGCTGTTATGAGGAGGAGTGTGGTGGAGTCTGCGCACAGGGCGCAGTCCTGTGCCTTGTATGCTCATGCAGAGTGACATTCAAAGCACAGGCCTTTCCGCCAAGCACAATCTCTCTGCTTAAGTCTTTTTTTGTGGTTTATTTAGACACTGCCCTGTGTACCCTCTCTGGCCATTGCTGCACTTTGGCGTGTTTGGCTTTGCTGCTCAACTAGACCTCTGAGATCCTGGCCAGGCTGAGCAGTCTATGAGGAGAACAAAGCTGGCAACTAGGGAAGATGGGGAAGGCCCTGACAGGGGAGTGCCCTGTCAGGAATGTGAGTGGGAAAGGGAGGAAGAAGCCTGATAAGAGATGCTTCTGCACGAGTGAAACTTGGAAAGTGCCAAGGTGACAGAATCCCTGGTCAGGCCCTGGAGGATAAAAACCTTCCTCTCCCTTTTTCAGTGTCACAAAAGGTCTCAGTGACACTGCTCCATCCTGTTCTCCCCTGTCCAAACACTGTTTTCAACTCTTGAAGGACTGGTGGCTTTTTCTGCTACTTTTTCAGCTCTGAAGAAGAGTCTCTCGTATACCTGGTACAGGCTCTTGGGTGAAAGGCTTGGATGCTAACCATAGCTTTCCAAGCCACTGACATCTCAGGTAGCCTTGATCCAAGGCAGAAATCTGAATGGGAGGAACACCTGCAGGAAGGGTGTGTGGAAGCACAGTGTGTGCTGAGCCTTGCGCAAAGCTGAGAAGGGAAGAGAGGATGGGTGAGGGAACAGCAMGCTCTAAAAGAACATGCCTGAAACCCTCAGGAGAGGGGAGAGGAAGGAGTTGGAGAATAGGAGTGTGTGGGGAGGGTAGGGGGCAACAAAGCCATCCTTTTGTGACCCAGCATGGCCCCCATGGGCCAACATTAACAACATTTGGCCACCAGTGAGCCTCTGGCTAGCAGGGCAGGCCCAGTGCCCATGATTGATGGCAGAAGGGCAAAGGCCCATAAAGTCACAGCATCTCCTAGAGCTTGCTGCCACCCTCCTGATTTGCCAGTGCTCCACCTCACACCAGGTAACATCACGGGTTACTTTATGGCTGCACAGTGCCAAGCATTTTGTTCAGTTCGTTGCTATTTGCTTGGCCAGAGGGATGGCCAAACCCCCATACTCTTYACTAGTTCCTCTCCTCCACAGAAATGCCGGGGGCTCGTGCGTGACGAGTGTGTCAGGGCATGGCAGTCTCCTGCCACCTCCACCCCACAGCGAACATCTCCAYGTTGGGAGAGTCTCAGGAGCAGGACCCTCTCTACCCACCACCACGTCACCCTCTGCTCACTCCATGCAGTGRCCGAGGAAGGAACCTGGGAGACTCTCCACGTGCGTGGGTGTGTGGAGGAACAGGCGGCAGGAGCGTCATCTCGAGTGACGGCTACGTGGCTGCCGCCGCCTTCCGCACGCGGGACGCCCCTGCCCGGGCGCGGGTTCTGAGGTGTTTGTGCGTGCAGCACCCGCACCCCGCAGTGCTCTGTGTTGGGTAGGGAGGAGAAGGGCTCCYGTGCACAGGCCTCCTGAGGATGTGCTGCCCGGCGTGGTGCACACGTAGTGAAGCAGGTGCTGGGGCCCTAGTCACTGATCTGCAACGGGACTCGGGTATGTGCTTTCTGTAGGTTTCCCCCACAAATCCCCAGAGAACTGTCTTCTTTGAAGAAACTTAACCGTTTTGGTGGTAAAACCAGTGACATTTGTCACCTCCCTTCAGCTCTGAGCTCAATGCTATAACTTCCCCTTCCCCATTTATTTTCCCTCCCTCCTCACCTGCTCCCAAATAAAAGTACAGAAATGCAGTTCTTTTGCTTGTGCTGGACTGTGAAGCACTAGTACTAACACCAGGAGCGCTGATGGGGCTGCGATGAAGAGCAAGCAAAGGGGCTGTCACTGGCTGTGCCTTCACACAAGTGTTTTGTGGCAGAAGTCCAGGCCTGGGCCCAGAGAGCCCGTTCTTCTTGGGACTCTCCCTCATGACAACCCCAGGGCTCAAAGAAACAAGTCCCAGGATCACAGATCACAGCTGTTCAAGAGCTTCATAATGTGGGGACGTCTCCTGTGCTACCTTCAAAGTGCAGTTGTGACGGAGTGTCAAAACCAGGGCCCTCATCTCTACAGTGTTGGTTTTCATTTCCCTGGCTGGATTTAACTAGACATGGCCTGAAGATGAAGCTTTAAAACATAAGAGTAATCTTCCAGATTACTGCAGTAGATTACTAGGAGTGGCACTTGGAGGGGGCAGTTCATCTCACCCAGAGCCCCTATTTCCGTGGGCAACAGGCTGCTGACGGCTCTACACTGAGCGCAGAGGAAACTCGGAGATGAGGCCAGCTGCCTAACTTCCATTCTGGTGAGTTAAGGGTGATGAATGTTGCTCTTCCTTCCACTAATTTCAGTACAGACAGGAACTGCCATTTCATTCTACTTCTTACTTCTACAGAAATACCATGTACAGTGCGCCTGGTAGGGCTGCCACTTTAAGCAATGAGAGAATACAAGTTTAGATGCCCAAAGCCCTGACGTACCCTCAGCACAGACCGCATGGAGGTATTGCCAGCAACCTGTTAGGTACGAATGGATCTCAACTCCACCCCACACAGCAAAATGTAACTGCAAGAGCAAAGGTGCAAGAAGAGCTTTTTGGAATGTAAGACGTCCATCCCAATGCACAGATAGAGGGATGAGCATGGCCAGATCACCTCTGGTCTTGCCCTTCTGCTCTCCGTGGCTTCATGCGGGAGCGCTCGGCTCTGCTTGGGGTTGCTGAGGGCCTCTGCTCGCGCAGGGGCTGCGGTGTCAGAGCGCCCGGCAGAGCCTCCACTTTGTAGCTGGTTCCCGCCCGTGGTGTCGCCACTAGAGCAGCGCAGGGCAGCCGGACACGAGCCCYGCGGAGAGGGCACGGGCTCGGCGTCCTCTGCCGCTGCCTGGGCTTCCCTGCGCTCTYCCAGACCCCTGCATTGACAAAACTCACCCTTACTTACAAAACTTATCAATGTTCTTAAATAGTCAGTGCAGTCGYGGAACCCCTGAGATGCCATGAAAAATGGGCAACTCGGGAGAGACCCATGTTTAGGAAAAAAAAATCAATAGACATAATACAAATTGCAGGAGAAGGAAGCTAACAGTACCGGGGTCTTGAATATTTTTCTCATCTCCCCTTCAGCTCAATAAGGAAACCCYCAAAGCTGGAGTTTTGTTTTCTCAAATTAGGGACTCCGCACCTATGGCTGACCATACTTATGTATCTACCCCTACTAAACTGGGGCCTGGTTAAGCTTCTCCAAGTAGGACCTTAAGTCTTGTGGGTTTTTTTGTTGCAAATTACTTAGATTCTTTGGCCCCCTATCCAAAATAGTTTAGCTGCCTGACTCCTAATAAAATCCAGGCATTTCATGCCCCTAGGAATGAATTATGTGCCTAAGTCTGGTGGAAAACGTGGGGCTGTTTYAGGGACTGGTCTGCTCAAGTTGATGAGACTCCATCTCCGCTCTGGTGCAAGTGCCTCAAGTTAGAAAAGCGGCTTCTGACATTCACTGACAGGAGGGGAGTGCAACAGTGGAGAATGTCCCCCAAAATGCAAGGATTATGAACCTCCTGCAAGGGGCCTGCACTGTCAACTGCAGCATGTAGCCTTTCCAGAGCTACCCTTGCTTCTTTAGCATCAGAAATGGTTCGTTCCTAGGCCCCTGATGTGACACCTACAAGAAATACTGCAGAAATGTGCCTGTTTCCTGAATGGGTGGGCACCAGTGCTAGGTTTGTGGCTGGACCACAGTAACACCACGAAAAAGTTTGCAGGGCACCCAAAATAGCCCGTACTGGCTCCCCATGACTAACACCACCAAGGCGAGGAATTAGCAGAGCCCCGTGAGCGTGTCTCTCCCCGGGGCCGGGCACGCTCGCAGCGGCTCAGCTACCTGATCGCTTACCCGGCAACTTGCCCAGTCTCTGAACCTTAGAGCTTGCTCCTGTTCCTAGCGGTCACCTGGCTGAGAGCTCATGCTCCCGTTTATCAGCGTAGGCTGCAAGAGACACAAGGTATTAGAAAGGTACTGCTCCCATCGCGGGCGTTGTGCTTTGATCCCAAGTGAACYAGAACATCAAATGCATACGGAATTCACGTGACTTGCCCCATGAGCAAACACAATAAATATCTTGGAATTTTAAGCGATCCTGGGGCAAAGAGACCTAAGCTTGCAAGCAAGGAGCGTTTACAAGACAGCCTCCCCACATGGCATAGCACAAGTTGCAACGGGGAGGCCTTTCTGTGGTTAAGCACCGTGATTTSAGATCCAGAAGTGGATCTGCAGAATGACAGTCCTGAGGTGACCCATCTCTTGCACCAAGAGGCAGCTTTATGGTTTCACAGCCCCACAAGGCCTCTCCAAAAGACGGGTAAGAGGCTGCTTGTCTCACACCACTCAGTGCCGCCCTGAGGATGCTTCCCTTTAGCTTACACATCCCCCAGGGCAACAAGTTCATCTTGTGGCTATTGCCCCCTTCCTTATAAATCAACCCCTCTGAAGGACACAGTTCTTCCTTAGGGTAAGGTGAGGACGAAACTCTTTCAGCATCGTGTGTGGCTTGCTTTGCACAGTAACATATTCCCTCTGCCCCGCGGCCCAGGCTTGGCCATTGCACAAGCCCGTGCGAGAGCTGCTGTAACTGGGGACCCTGGCACTTAGGCCAGGTTTGCRTTCCTTGTGCCCATACCACAGCTTCACGTGGTGAGAACAGCACCAGGTCGCAGAGTAGACAAACAGGCCAAATGTTCTTAGATTGGCAGCCGTGGTTACCTGAAAGCTACCGTTAAAATAGCAGAATTAAAACTACATATAAAAAAGGAGGGAGAGGAGAGAGCAGTATCACAGCCAGGCTTTGGCCGCGACATAGGGCCAAGGAGGGAGGTGATGATCCCGGAGGAGCACTTGGCGCGGGCGGTGGGATGCTCCAGCTGCACYGCAGGGCCGGTTCTGCCCCCAGGGCTGTTGGTGGGTGGCTCCTGCWGCGAAGGGCCCGGCAGGCACAGCCAGGAAAGGCAGGAGGGGRGCGGCGGGCACGCGCAGGCTGCGCTCTTTGTTTAACAAACTGCCTCGGCTTAACGCGCACAACTGCTTTTCTTCCCTCTCTGCAAAGGAAGTGAAGCTTGCAGCATTGTCTTCCTTGAACAGAATAAACTTCTTCTAGCTTCTGTGTAAAGTAGCAGCAGAAATACCCCAGTTCTGCTTCTGAAGAGCTGCAGACGCATTTAATCAGGTAGCTAGTGGAGTCCTGCCCTACAAGCTGGTGGCATCAAAGTATCCTCCAACATATGGGCTGAAGACCCAAGAGAGACAACAGTGTTGGTTGGTCTGTCATATATTACTGATTTATAATGTTCAGGGCTTTGCACCGTGTCCACGAATTAATACATCTCATTAGATTTTTTTTTAAATTATAATATTTTTTCTTTCTATCCTCACTCTTAACCCCCTTTAGCTTTGTGTTGCTGCTTTCTGCATTGTTCAGATGGCCCCATTGTGCTTTGCATGGAGAACAAAGCACAAAGTTCCTCATGCTCTGAGGAACTAGATTTTCCCAGAAACTTTTTTTTCTCCAGGAGCTGACAGGCYACCTGGGCAGTAGTCTGGCTAGTGGCAGCTTCCCAACGGCTTTAAAGTAGGGAGATTAAACAGAAGCACAACTAAATGAGAATATACAGTACACAGCAGCATTAACTGCAACAATCGTATTAGTATCTGACATGGTAGGAGGTGGAAAAAAATACACTGYTGGTAACTGTTTTGTTCTCTTAAAAGAACCTTTGGAGGCAATTTCTTCTCTTGTGACCCCACAGTTATGGCCATTGCTTTTTAGTGATTTATTGCTCTGCTACCAAGCGAGCTCCACTTTTGAAGCATAAATCAGTCGGCTTTCAAAGCAAAGCTACTTAATCTTGCCGCCGCAGCAGCAGCGGCGGCTGTGGGCTCTTCTAACACTGCGAGCCAYGTGAGTCCGCGGCCCCCCAGGAATAAGTGGGTCAGGGATCTTTTCCAGCAGAGATCTGGAGCGGTGGGGGAAGGGAGATGGAAGGTGGCAGAACGGAGCAGACCCCGTCTCCTGCCCGAGCTCCACAGGGTGTCACGTCCCCTGGCAGCGCTGGCTCTGCGGGGTGAGAAATTCTTCTCTGTCTGAGAAGATGAAAGGAGGCGGCACTGGTGGTCACGGCTGCAGGAGGCCAGGCCCGCAGCTGCTCTGGCGGCAGCAGGGAGGTGCAGGGAAGGGCCCCCCTTCCTTGGAAAGCTGCCGGGGTTAAAGCAAGTCCCGAACTTGAAACCTAATAGCTATTCCAGAASAGCACGTTGAAACAAGCCCTACAAACTCATGCATTGTGTGCAAATACTCAGCACTAACTTGGGATGACAAACACTGGAGTCGCTAAAATATTTCTCTATTTTGGGGTGTCGCAGGCAGCACCATCCCCCAAAGGCCATACATCAATGCCACGATGTTTTGGGCTAGAGGAACAGGATGCAGGTTAGCTGTACAGTTACTTACTCAACTGTTTTCTCTTTTCTCCTCCTTAAGGCCCCTTTTTTCCCCAAGGACCTCAGCATAAACAAGCGATAGGTGAATGGCTTGATAAATAATGTTGTGGAAGGAGGCTGCAGGCCACATGGTGGCACTCTGACCACAGAAGCTTTTGGCCTCAAGGCAGAATGACAGGCTGTGCAGCATCCATCTCATCCCAGAGGGTGCCACATCCTTTTAAGCCCCGTGAAAAGGGCTTCTCGCCACACAAGAGGGTTCCTAAATAAAATGAGGCTATGAGATATCACACTTTGAACTGATGGCAATGGTTGCAGGGTGTCATGAATGCCATGAGTAGCCTCTGCCCTGCTCCTCAACTCCCCTCTCTGGTATTTGAAGAGCTATGAAGCCAGTATTACACAYCTCCGTATCCCAAACCTTTATTTTTGCAGAAAAGAAAGGGTTAATGTCCATTCCCCTTTCCCATTACGCGTGTATTTCCACAAATGCACCCATTTCATCACTGAGAAACTCCAAAGCCATCCATTTTTCCAAAGCCTCCTCCTTAGGAACTGCAGAACTGTAAAAACTTACCTGCCTTGTAGCCCTCCTCCATGAGCAGTAGCTGCCACTGGAACAAGCCTGAGAAAAACAGCCCCCCTGCCCCAAAAGAGGGGTGCTCAGTCAACATGARATAGAGGGGACTATAAAGGCAGTGGAGCCACACGGAGCGACTCTGCTACCTGCACCAGTGACGAGCACCAGGGTGAGAGGGGACTCTTGCCCTCCTAGGCCGCCCATGAGAGCRAGGGGAAACCTGCCTCAGAGCTTCACTGTCTGAGTAGTGGCGCGTGACCTTCTGGCATGTGAGCAATTCCCATTTTTGACAATATTTTGACTACTTTTTCAAGCAAGATTTTGCTACTAGTGTCTATAGGTATGAGTAATTGGTCAAGGACCAAATATTTCATGTCAGAAAAGCCTTGTGGAGATAGGCAATCTCTCCCTCTTCTTAAATAAAATATGCACCTTAGGCAAAAAAGTAAATATGAACTCAGATATCTGTTTCTTAAAATACATATATTTTGCAACAACAGCTACTTAGCTAGCTTCTCATTTTAGTAGTCAGATGAGCACAGCTATTTTTGAGCAAATATCCAGTTTTCTCAATCTTTTCAGTATTTAAACTTTGGTTTTGTAAGATGTGCTATGGGTAGCCTTAAGAGGGGCCAGAGAAACACACCGATTAATGCAGGCTGGTTTAAAACCTCATACTTGAGAACTGTTCCACTCAGAAGAGCACCCAAGCCTATTTTTAAACCACAACACACACCTCTAAAACAACCACACTACTTTTGTCACAGGCATTAATGACAATTAAACCTCCGAGCTATGTTTCACCCTCTCCCTGCAAGGGCACTCATGCTACAGGAAGCTAGCAGTGCTTTAAATGCAAAGCAAAAACAACCCCCTTCCCACCTGCAAATCACTCTCGCATTCCTTCCAGAAGGAAGAAAACTGCACTTCCTTCCAGGGAATGCATGGAGGAAGACAGGGAAATACATGAGAAGATGGAGTAGGAGGCCACACAACAGCACGATGACCATTAAACTCTTGCAGTTCCGATTCCTGGCTTAAGGAAGCTGCAAGACAAAGAGGGCGAATCAAGCATCGCGAGAGCCAAAACCCAAGAGCTGCCCGTTTCTACAAGCAATTCTTCCTCCTGCAAGGCTTGAGAGGTGAAGCTACACCACCTGCATGCAACTTAAGCTTGCATGTAAGCCAGTTCCCCTTCAGAAACACCAAGCTGATATATAAGGTGCTATGAGCAGTAGTTATTTGTTTACATCTCATGATTCTCAGCATATATCCMCTGCTTTTCATTTTCTAGGAGAGGGAGAGAAGACTTGTGACCGAGCAGTACTGGAGCAGAGGTTAATACCCCAGCTGTTCCCAAGCAGCACTAGTGCCAGTGCTCGGCTTTACTGCCCAGCAAGGCAGGTCTGTTAGGCTTCCCTATCCTCCTGCTAGGAAGTTCAGCTGCTGCACAACTGGGAAYAGCACCACCTCTGTATGGGACTAGAAAGGCTTTTAATTAACCTGTAAAAGGCAAGTCTCAAAGTACAAGTCCCCATCATTTTAAAACACATATGGTTAGAAGATAAGGAGGTAGTACTTACTGAGATGCACACTGAGCAGTGAATTCAAGCTGGCCTATCAAGGCAGAAACACTGCAACTCCATTGAGCACTCCCTCCTCTCCACAGCATCCAGTTAAGAGAAGTTAGTCTCTAGGTATTTGCATCYGTTGGACCCTTGCCCAGCCTCTCCAAGCTCAGGGAATGCTGTTTGTTTTATGACCCCGCTAGTTCTCACTTCATGCCATTAAAACAAAAAGACATTTCAAAGTCAAATTTTACTCCAGGCTCCACTATTACAGTATGATGAACGAGACCACAGAATTTTGAAGAATTTACTGCCATTCCAAAGAGGTTTTATTGTTCAAAGACACCACACTGAAATAAAATCCATCACATACATTCTTTGTCATCTACATCTTCACAACAGTGCCACATTCAGGCAGGTCAGGCATCAGGAACTCACAATGAAGTCAAGCGCTACTAAAGGCATCTTTTGTCTTTCAGCTCCCCAACTAGCAAGGCATTCATCTTCTGCCTGAAGAAGAAATACAGATACCTAGAAAGATCCCTTTTGGGAAGGACATTAGAACTTCGAGGAACAGTGACAGACTCTGTCTTCCTTCAGTGCTAAGCTTTCCGTTTTCTGATTTTTCTTTACATAATGTGCGACTTAAAAAACGCATGTACATTAAGTCTCCTTACTGAGACAAGGCATGCAGTAAGGGAAGTGGGAAAGGTGGTCCCTTCAGGCTGCCTGTCTACACATTTGTGCCTGTAGATTAGCAAGCAGCTGCTGAAGGTTAAAAATAGACAACAGGAATGAATGCACCCAAGTTAAGTTAAATGGCTTTTAAGGATATGTTAATATGTAAAATAGTGATACCACCTACAGTTCTGTTTTAATGACCTCTATTTGAAAACAAGTTTTGTYAAACCATCACAGGCCATTTACATTTGCAGACTGTTGGATAAAAGTTCTTTTCCAAATATTGTTTATTTAAACGAGCAACTCCTTATTAGAAGGGCAATTATTAAGAACTTGTAAGGCAGAAGTCATTAAATGCAATGGTTTACATTGCTGGATATTTTTATAAAAGGCAAGCTAAAAATTAGTCGATTATTATTTAGGGCAGAGGGGTCATTCATAAAGGTGTTTCACTTGTATCCCCACTGTAATCATCACAGCAACTGTAGATGGCAAGTCTTCCTTAGYTGTCATTGAGGATGAGCAGGCTTCTGGCTTTATTTCAAGTTAAGAAATACTTAGTTCTTTTTCTCCATCCTGCCAAGAGAAGAACAGGTTTTGTAAGCAGGAACACCCAACTGCAATCACTGCCATGAACCTGGACTTGCAGCTGCTCAGTTACTTATGCAAAACACCAGCCCACTCTCAGCTTTGCAGCCTCTTTTATGGCTATACGGCTCCAAAGGCTTCATCCTCTCCTTGTTCTGCATGGATTTCTTTGGGAAGAGAAGAGCCACAGYCTGACACATCAACACTGCCTGGGGCAGCGTCTGCCCATTAGCTKCACAACAGGGCTGCAGGGCTGCAGCCGGCTCCCCAGTCAAGCTGCAGTGGCTCCTGCATCTCACACGTACCAGAACAGCTGCCTTGGACAGATCTGCCTTGGCTTCTCTTTCAGCCAAGCCTCCCTTTCAGTTTTATGGACATTTTCATTTCAGGAACTGCTTACTGAGATTGATACTTGCAGGAAAAAACAACAGGAAAATTGGACAAGCAAACAGAATACCTGGCAGCTGCTGAGAACCCAGCCTACATCCATAAACACAAGGGTCTTCAGCTTTCTGGGTGCACCCCCAAAAGCTTCAGTCAAGGGACAAACCAAAAAACACTTCAGCCTACGGGCAACAAGCTTGTTTCTTCACTACCTTTTGCCTACTGAGCCCCAGGAATCTGCACCGTAGCTGAAAGCCACTGACAAAACACTCCAAGAGCCAGTTTACGGTTTCCCCTTATTTAACGTGGGACTTGCCTGTGTTTGATCAGTCGTCCTCCTTGGATAAGTTGTGCAACTTCATTAGTAAAGTGGCATGCAAAGAGAAGCCAGTTTCTCGGCTGTACTTTATAGGCAAATCTCATGAAAGTCAAGGAGTAACAACACAGTGCTGCAAAACATGACAGATACAAGATTACTTTTAAAATACATACTTTTAAGACATCATTTTCATACCTGTGTAATGYGTAACATGCAGAACACTTCTCTGTGGCATGGTAGTTTTCCAGCGGTCCTGAAAATTTGCCCGCTTTGGATCCAAYGCACAAAAATGTACAACAATGCCAGCTTCTGTACTGCGGGGCTCAGGGCTGCAGCTTTCTGCAAGGATTTCCTCATACACCTGTGATGCAACTGAAGTCTAATCTGGGTTATTATCTAAACTATCTCTCAGCAAAGGAATAAAGAAAGTCCTGTTAATCCCAGTGTGACACAACTCTCTCCACACAACTGTTTCAACACATTTGTTGGCACAGGCTATTTTAAAACTTTAAAACAGGTAGTTATTTTGCACCCAGCTCTTGCTGTGAAAGTTCAAGCACAGATTTTAAGGGGAGGCTGCCCCTTCTGCAGGAAGCCCCATATTTTCAGAAGCATAAATTTTTGTTACCTACTTCCTCTGAAGGTGAGAAGCAGTTTCAGCCTGCTCTCTGACCACAAGCGCATTTAAATGCAGCAAACTACAACCCATCATTAGTGCTGCAAAGCTGAGTTCTAGCTTTTTGACAGACTCGGACAAAATTAATTTAGGAGGCAAGATATTTTAGGCAACCTGTCTTTTTCAGTGCAAATTCTATAGAGGAGAAAACTCACTTTTTGTACAACAGCCTATGAAGACTTGTAGAAAACAATTCTAGTGGAGGGCAGTTGCACAACCCAGCAGCGGCACCATCCAAACTTCCACTGCCTGCTGTGTCTGGAGCAGTCACCCTGCAAGGCTGGAGCTGCCAGCTAGGCCAGGTCAGCCCGGCAATGCTCAGCAGAACCACGGCTGGTACCAAGGCAGGGCAGCTACACGCACGGGGCACCCAGCCCAGCTGCTAGCCCTGGTCTTGGGCCAGCCTGAGCCTTGCACTGTGCYACTGACTTAATTTTGAATTCCTATTATGAATTCAATTATTGTATTATAGCATAGTTATATATATTGTAACTCATTATTGCATTATACTTAATTATTTGCACCTACCTCACAGGATTCCCTCAGGGTTTTAAAARCCTGGTTTAAGTCTCTCTCTACACCTAGAAAACCTTTTGGCTTAAGGACAGTCTAGTAGCTACACCCTATATATAAGCTTTTGTTCAGCTGCAACTCAAATGAAATCCAGCAACAGGAGTAACTAGTCGCAGCTGAAGTCACTGACAAGCAGAAGTGTTGTTCATTTCCTCAAACTTTACCTCGTTTTTCCTTTCTAAATGTTTACTTTGTTGTAAATCCTTTGCTTTTGAGCAGTTAACTTCAAAGAGCCACAGACGCCCATCTGAAGGAGTTGAATATTTACATAATGATACTCAACAGACTTCTGTTCCGAAACCATGCGGTTTGCCAGCTTTATATATCTCAGCTTCACCACGATGGGCACCAAAATGCTGTTTTGCAAAACAGTATTTGAGCAGATCTTCCATCTCCAAGAGGTAGACCAAGACATTGAATTACTCCAAGCAGAAGGAAAATAATTTAAACTGTGCATTTCCTCAACCCTCTCATATTTACATCAGCGGAAGAAGAGTTAAACTATTAACTGAGTTTAGGACAAGGCAATGTAAGGTACTAATTTAAGCTAGTACCTTAAAGCTACCAAATTTATCAGCACTCAGAAAGGAGAATCCGAGCAGTAGAACACAGACAGACCACTAAGCATAAGCTATATCTTCCCCAGAAGGCAGGTATTGCTTATGCACTTAAACCAGAAGATGTCACATTACTACCCCATTAAGGGTGCTGGAAGCAGCAAGCATTGGGAGGAACCTGTCTCCAGGCTTTCACCATCATCATCTCTTCACTTTGTCAGTGCTCTGATTTAAAACTCATACAAACCACAAAGTATCACCGTGACCTTGATACAAACACAGCTGGGAGAAGAGATTCATTGTGATCTAGTGCATACAGTAGCATTAAGATACCAGAACAACTATAAAGTATTGGCAGTTTTGATCACCATGGAGGCTTTTTCTAGCCTCACACACAGAAGTTACTAGAACGCTGCTGAATTCTCTTTGAAAGAGTCTCCCACCCCCTCTGTCTTTGGGTGATCTCTGAAGTCTTATGAACAAAAAGCATCACGCTGTGGTCTTTGATCACAAGTAGTTAAAAATACATCACTGCTCCAAGTGGGGAATGTGTTTGGCAGCCAGGTTGCTGACAAGAAGTCTCTCTGCTCTTACCAAATGTCATTCGGCCGCTAATGATTTCTGGAGATTTCTTCATATCATTAAAAGCAGCAATAGGAAGACCCCAGTTCGCCACTGGCCCCCAGAAGTGCTGTAAAGAAAAGAGAAGAAAAAAGGGAGAGTTGCACATAAACGCAAAGCTTCTTCAGTGTTTTTATAGGCTAAATATCTACCTTTGTGTTCCCTAGCTACACAGAACTGCAGGAGCTCAGGGTGCAATTCCAAGTTAAGGCACAGACAGCTTTTGAAACAAAGCAGAAATGAGCCCCTTCTTTAGCCAGGATCTAGTCTCCATGAAGGAAGCAGGTGGAACCTATTCCCAAACATCTTGCAAACTGAAGAGGGACTACCCATTCTGTAAGGCTACTAAATGAAATGCAATTCTGAGCAACTCTACTTTAGCCATTGATCAGGAGTCTCATCGCTCTCCTCAGCATGACCCCAGGTTTACAGCTCACTCCTGTGAAAAAAACTGAGCCTTTCTCTTTCATACAACATTTCTCTAAATCTGACAGAAACAAGGAGCACGTGAAACGAACCACTCAAAATGCCATGTTATGCTGAGGAGCAGAAAGCCCTCAGCAATCATTGTCCAAGTGGCCACACCAGCTCTTTGAAATCCTGGGGATATCCCAGCAAACCAAGCTGTTGGATATGTCTTCCTTCTGCAACTGTCGGGACAATGCGGTGGCTGCCTCGGGCTCAGYGATTAAGTGCATGGCAGCGCAGGGCAGGAGCAGGCTACCACTGTGCACATGCAGAAAACTGAGCCGGGAAGCRGAAAGAACAAGTCTGAAATCAGTCAAAACTGACAAATGTGCACTGGCTGAGACCACAAAGGGTGACAARTAGGGTTATAAGGCCAGTCTCGACTATTTTTCTGCAGGAAAAAAAAGTATTACCACTTCCAGCAGCTTCTTTTCCTAATGGCAAACTGAGGATGTGTAAAAGTGACTTGAGACAGATAAGATAGGCACTTTGCAAGATACAAAGCTCTGCAGATACCAGATTCTTCAGTYTCTTTCCCCACTCATAATACTGCAGATATCCCAGTGCTTTGGAATTCTCAGCGGACATAAGCTCCTTACAGTTTGAATGCCAGCCAGCCACCCTCTGCTCGGCTGGATGGCAGCTTGCAACACTAACAAGAGTTAGATGAAAAGTTGTACTTTCTCCCTGCAGATTTGGGCTGTGAAACAGCAAGTGAACCAGTACAAAATTGGGGAAAAACAGAGGTTATTTCGCACGCGCTGTTTTGTTGGCTTAACCTTAATGCAGTATTATGCAAGATGCAGAGTGGCATTTGTGTAATGTGCACTAGTCCAAACTCAGGTTCACAGCAGCAGTAGGTACTGGAAGAACATGCAGTAAAMAGTTTTTCTCCTATCAACAGGAGTGTAGCAAAGCCAAACTGTAACTCAACACCAGGAATGTTTAAAGCTCTCCAGCAGCCTCGAGATGGCATAAATGCCACGGAGTGATACAACTCTTTCCAGCTATACCTTACACTGTGTTTAGAGAATTTACAGGAATGTGGCTGTAACACCATCCCTATACAAAATATTTCCTGAACAAACACTGAACAAATACATTCACAGCAAGAGAACACACACAGGAGGCTGCTATTCTGGAGGCTTTCATGCACTTTAATGCAAATATCTAAGTAATTCGAAAGAATAGAGCAAGGATCAGCAACATACTTGGTATTTATATTTATTCAACTGCCTTTAGAATAAATACACACAGTATAAAACAGGGTACTCCAAGTTACAAGAAATGATGATCTTCAACTCACAGCACCRTGTGCAGCCCAACAGCAGCTTTCCCCTGCTGACCCAGGAGCTAAGTTTGCAGCTGTCTAGTTTGACCTGGCTGTCTAGTTAAGTGCTCCAAGCCAGGCAATCCTTTTAAGCTTGTGCACTCGTGGGCTAAATTGCACCTAGGCAGTTTCTTTGGTTTACAGAGAGCRGTAGAAGAGTCTTCCATAAACACTGATCCACACTGTGATAGGCAGAAAAGACCAACCTCCAGTTTCAGGAACAAAAAGAAGGGTTAGAAGACAAACGTCTGCAGCGAGAGTTACAACATGAGGTTGTTTATTGTCCAAAGCAAAGACTGTCAAAAACAAGCCAGAAAGTTCAGGCAGGTTCCCAACACGCTTGCTGTGCACAAGAACAGTTCCAGATTCATCTGACCTCCTTTGCCAAGGGTGCAATAAGGRAAGCTCCTCTAATTTTTAAGTGAATCTTTAGGAGTCATTCTATATGTGCTAGTGTTAGGCAACCTGGCCTCAGACTTTCATTTACATTTTACCAATATATCCTTCCTGGAGGRCAGCCACATGGCTCTGCAGGTTGAGTCAAGTCCCCAACAGAGCTGGGGCAACAAGCCTGCCAATTACTTAAGTATAAAGTGCACTAGGAAGCCCCTTCCCCCTTCTTACCGTACTGTGCGAGGAGGCCACCATTGGTTACCGTTCGGAAAGAACATGGAAGAAAAAAAGAGACAAGAATTAGTTTCCTCTATAAGCCATGTAGGAAAAGCTGAGTGCAAAATGAAGGCAGAAGTCCAAGGTRCCACAGCCTCAACCTTGATTAACTGCAGCATTAACAACCCGCTTCCTTCAAGAGCCGTCGCCGCAAGGAGTGTTTGTTGTCCAGGCAAAATAAAATCCCACTGTGGTAAGTGGGAGCCCTTCCTCCCCAAGGGCTTCCCAAAGCAGCYGAGATCAAAGCAGCAGAGCCCCTGCCCCTGAACTAGTTTAGGAGGAAGTCAGAACCTCTGAGGTTTGACCAGGGGAGCTAAATAACTAGGATTTCTCTGTGAGGGCTCTCGAGAAGCCACCGCGTGTTCTTTGCACACCTGCCTAAGTAGATCAAGAGGAATTTTGCCAGGGAATCTCACCATCACYAAGCACTGTCCAGCCCCAGCTTTGCTCAAAACAGCCTAATAAACATTTTCCAAGGYCTAACATACAGCCACACTCCAGATATATGTGGTTAATATCTATATGACCACTTATTACAGATGTTATTTAGTTATCTATGCCTAAGTGCTAGCTTAAATACAGCATGTATTTAAGATCATTTGCCACTACTTCTTTAAAAGCGCTCAGAGCTTCCCAACATTCTCTCTCCAACAAAGACATCGGTACACTCCAACCGACTTCTGCCTTTGCTCCTTAAGACCCTGGGGTTTTTTGTTTGCTCATTCCCTGAACTGCAGCAATGATTAATAGAAGTTGGCAGGACTGCTGTCACCTGGCTTGTCACACTGCCTTAGCCAAGCGAGTTCAACGCGCCTCTCGGCACAAGGCGTTTTGGCCAACAGAAGCTGATCTCCCTGTTAAAAATGGAAGCTGTTYTCACCCAAGCAAAAGCTTAAAAATAGAATGAGCGCGAGTGCGGCTGCTTTGCTGCCCCACAGAGCTGTGAGCCGACGGGGCTGCCAGGCTCTTCCAACTGTCCTCGTATTCACGTGAGCTGGGAATAGCTCTGATAGTCAGAACAGGACACATCAAGGTTACATACACTTCCAGAGGCAGCAACTTCCAGCTATTTCCAACACACTATATCCAGTAATGAGGAGATCACTGAAAGTGCTCGTGTCTTGTGCCTGAAATGGCACTGCCATCCCAAATTGGTTATTTTCTAAGATGGACAYGCAGGCCCTTGACAATGCTCCTCCTCAGCACACTGCAGCAACAAGAACAAATGAGAAATTAGCTCAAAGAAACTAACAGCTTTAGCCAACTATGTAGCYTCTGGAAACAGAAGGCAGTCCACCTGGATTAGGAGCTTGAGGGGAAGTTGGCATTCTGGTTTAAGAGACAAGGCTACCAAGTTTAAAAATAAAGGTTTCAGGAAAGATGAGCCCCAAAAGCCACACAAAGTACAGAACTGGACTTGAAYTAAAATACACTGTCCCAGCAAAACATCAAATTCTCTCTCTGTATGCAAGACCACAAAACTAGACCAGGCTGCTATTTGTCACATTTGTCACACTTGCTCACTGATCAGAAAGGCAAATATCACAACAATTAAAAAAAAAAAGGGCACTGGAGAGAGAGACTTTGTACTTACTAAAGTCTACTAAACCGAGGAACAGTTGTTGATTTATTTACTCATTACACTTTCTGGATAAGAGTCTACACATTACAAGAAGGGCCAAGAGATAACCAACACCTTGTACCATCCCAAGGCTATCCTGGGATGGATATATTTTTCTGGAAGTTTTACAGGTACTTCCCCATATTGCCAAGGGACATACTGGGAGGCCAAAGACCATTCCAGAAATGCAGATGAAATATTACCACTTGTTTCCCCCGTCCCAGAAAGTTTTAGCCTTCTGCAGGAAAAAAAGAGTAACTTATGGAGTTCTTGGAACATACAGCATCCTGACAGGGTGCAATATGTCCTTTAAGTTCTATCATGGACCTGGGGAAAACATTTAAATCCTTGTGTACACAAACAGTTTAAYGATTTACTAATGAGGACAACTGAAGGTCAGCCAATTCTCGCTGTACTCCCAACGCTCATTCTTTTAAAGTTCAGCCCAGTATGCAAGTTCCAGATACAATTTTAGGCTGCTTAAGTTAGAAAAAAACACTCATGTTTTAAAAGAAATGAACCATAGATCTACTTCAAAACTACCTATAGTAACAGAAACTCGAGATTTTTGTTCCTGGGTAGTCAGCATGAAGARAGACTTCAGAATTACTCCAGCAGATAAAGCCTCCTGGCCTCCCCTGATTTAGGGGCTAATCCCAAGTAATTTGGGTTTCTACCCTGCAAAGCTCTGACTGCTTGCCCATAGTGGCCTACAGATCCTCTCCCTCAAAGTAGGATGAAAACTGGGCTTTTTTTTTTCCAAGAAATGGCACTTTGTGTCATCAGCAGAGCATAAGGCATCTCAGTTTCCCATTAGCAACTTGGATAATGGGATTTTGGCAACAGCCCTCACTTGTGTAACGCTGGGCACAGGAGGGGGAAAGGCAGCTTGAAGGCCACAGCATGAGGAGCTGCTGCACTTCCACGTGCTAACGAGCTGGTTCAAAAGGCAGCAGCAATAGCCCGCTAGAGACTGCACAAGCATCTACTGAGTTTACTTGAGAGGTGTGAAGAGACGGTCACAGCAGAGGCACACTCACAGGCTCTCGTGATCACAGCTGGCTTCTCTCAAGTGGCCGTCTGAAACTGGCTGAAGGTTTAATTACTAATGACAGATCTAAAGGCAATTTATCCTGTTTCTTGGAGCAAGGCTCAAAAGCCAGCTCGTGCTGCGCCGCCAGCTGTACCCACGTGAACGGGCAACACCGATCCGCTGCAGCTGCCTTCATGATTTCAGCTTAGGAAACGCAAACTGAAGGTTTTCTGACAGGTACCCCGTTCTGGCTGCCCTAAGCCCTGAGTAAGGGCACACTCGCCAGCTCAAGGGCGCTTGCTCTACGGCTCCGCAGAGACTTGATCCGTAGCGGCCCTTCCCCGGCACGCACAGCCGGGAGTCCCGGGACGGTGGATCTCTCAGGGAACCGCTACGTATCAAGGAGGAGCCCTGAGGAACGCGGGTTTTGCAACACCTCGTTTTAAGTTTTATGCAAACGGCCTAAAAAAAAATTTTTTTTTAATTTTAAAAGCAGAGGAGGAGCGCAAGACGCCGCCCTTTCCTTTCCCTTTCCCTTTCCCGCGCCCCCGCTTCAGGGGCGCTCCGGCGCGGCGGCTCCTCGCTACCGGCGCCGCTGCCCCCAGCGACCTTCACGGCGCTCCGCTCGCCGCGCCCGCTCCCGCTCCCGCCGCGGGCCCGGCTCCCGCCGCCGCCGCGCCCACCTCATGAGGTAGTCCCTGAACTCCTTGCTGCGCACGTAGTCCGCGGCCTTGCGGGCCAGCGCGCCCGCCATGGCGGCCGCGCGCGGAGGGAGGGAGGGAGCGAGGGAGACACCGACACCGGCCCCGCGCGGCCGCCCGCGCCCCGCTTTACGGCAGCGCCCGCGCCGCGCCACCCCCGTCAGCGCCGCGCTCTGCGCGCCCATTGGCCGCGCCCCCTCGGCCGGCGCGCCGCCCTGCGCGCCGATTGGCTGAGCCGCGCCGCCGCCCCCGCCCCGGGCGCCGCGAGCGAGGCGAGAGGGACACGGGCGGGGCGAGGGGCGTCGCAAAGCAGCGGGGCGARAGGAGGGGAGCTGTCGCAAAGCGCGGCGCGGGGGTCCCCTCGGGAGCCGCTGTGCAGCCCCGGCGGGCGGCGGGCCGCGGACCGGGACACTATTGGCTGCGAGGGGCCGGCTGGTGGCTGCCCATTGGCTGGTGAGGGGCGCATCCCGCCCCCCGCGGTGTGTGTCCCCGCCCCCGCAGCGCCGGCGCCAGCGGCCCCTGGGGGCGGGGGCGCGCAGGCGCAGAGCGGCCGGAGCCCCCGCGGCGTCTGCGCCTCCCGCTCRGCATCCCGTTTTCTGCACAGCGGGATGCACAAAACGGGCGGAGACRCGAAGCCAGCGAATGGCGCGGGCCCGGGAGGCGAGATACAGCAGAGGCCCCGTAGCTGCGTCCGTGGCTGTTTTCAAAGGGAGCCCCGGGGTTTTTTGCAAGACACATAAGGGAGCTCGGGATTTTTGGAGCTGGGAGCGGGGGCACCGTCAGGAACGGACACCGCGGGGCTCGTCCCTGGAGCAGCCTGCAGGCCCGGCCCGCAGGAGCCTCGGCGCTCAGCGGGGCAGCTGAACCGCAGCTCCCAAGGGCTGCGGCCCCTGGAGCCCTGCGTTGTGTCCGTGGGACGCGCGCGAGGCGCAGGGCRACGCACTAGCTCCGGCGGGAAAACTGCTGGAAAAGTGTCTCAGAAGCATCACCGGACTGCGGAAAGGGTGTCGGTGCTGCGCAGCACTGCGCGGCAGCCCTGAAGGACGCCTGCAGGGAGAAGGCGCAGCGCCTGTCCCACCTGCTAGGGAAGGGTATTTCCAAAATCCGTGTTCTGGAATGCTGCCCAACGGCAGCTGAGCCAGTTCTGCGGGAAGCTGACCCTGGGGCCCAAGGAGCTGCCATTTCCCTGCTGCGGTAGCCCCAAAGGTGCAGAAATACCTCACAGGACCACAGGAGGGTGGAGGGTGGAAGGGACCTCCAGGGATCACGCAGTGCATCCCGCTGCACACGCAGGGACACCCGGGGATGTGCCCGGGCGGGTGTGCGGGGCCGAGACGGGCTCCGWGACAGGCCCCTGCGTCCCGGGGCCCTGCTCTCAGAGCCGTGTGCCGAGCACAACCCGGCGGGTGCGTGGCCGTGGCGCCGGGCTCGGGGCGCTGCCGGGGACGTGATCCAGCCGTGGTTATCCACGGGCCGAGCGAGGGGAACACGGGGGGTGACGCCCGTGCGCTCCCTGACTGCAGCTCCCTGTGCCCGGATGCCAGCGCGGGAGCGGTGCCCCACGGGCCCCACACTGCCCCACGGGCCCCACGGGCCGCGTTCGGCAGCACCTCCAAGCGCAGCCGGCACCTCCGGGTGGGCGCTGGGGGCTGCCTTGTGYGCCTGGTCAGTCAGTTCTTTCAAACACGTGCTCGTGTCTGCAGCGTGTGCGTAGATGCATCCTCGCAGAAACACGGCTTTAATATTAGTCTGAAGAAAACTGAAGGAAGTGCATAACGACTAGTGAAGTAATGATAATAAAACCACCGCAGAAAGACAAACTCCCTTTTAAAAATGGCCAAAGGAACACCGTGATGTAGGAATTAAAATGGACAAGGTCAAGAAGAAAAATAAAGCTCAATTGACCTTGAAAAGAGCACGTGTTGCAGAGCCCTAAAGCCCGGCATACGATCAGCTAAAGTGCTGGTTGTGCAGCCAGGTGAAAGCTGGGYGGCAGGAAGGGGAGCAGGAAGCAGCATCCGCAGCAGGAGGAGCCCAGGATCCCGCTRCTCCCACTCCCATCCCGGTCCTCAGGGCAGCTCGGCCCCTGCTGCTGGCCTCAACCCTGCTCCAAGGTCAGGAGAAAAAAAGTGAATAAAATCGCTGCCCTCTCCAGCTGCGGCTCGTGACGGAGCGACTCCTGAGGGCTCCTGTGTGCCCGGCTGCTCCGGCRCGGGCTGCTCCCAGCGGGAGATGGGAGGCTCCGGAGGGCCGGGAGCTCCTGCAGCCGCCAGCACCGAGCGGTGCCGGTGGCCTTAGGGGTGTTCCCTGCTAACGCACCCCGGGACAGTTTCTTATTTAATAAAGCTTCAGAGGGGAYCGGTTAGATTCTGATTTTAAATATAAAATGTATGTGGCTCAGGCTTTTTAAAATTCATACATTTTTACTACGCAGGGGAAAACTGATTATCAACTTTATTTACTGGTTACTTAAGCTTCCAGTCACGGGTGAAAATACGGGTGCTGGGCTACAAGTGTACAGGGATTGCTGCTTAAAAAGGGACATTTTTAAAGGYGTGCGGTGCCCCAGTGCAGCAGAAAACAAAACCACAACCTGCCCCGGGCCCTGCTGCTGTGTGGGAAGGGAAGGCGGGATGCGGGAAGGGAATGCGGGATGCGGGAAAGGAATGCGGGAGCGCCACAGTGAACGCTAGCGACAAGGACAGTCCAAGCAAGGTTGGGAGGACGGTTTGAGCTGCTGCTTAATTCATCTTTTGTTTTCTTTATTAATAAAAGCAAACCCACAGAGTGGCATGCCCGCGGTCGGTGTGACCTGCGCACGGTTTGCAGAAGGAGCCTGTGTTGCTGCCTTGCAGACTGCCCGCTGCAACGCCTGCCTTTCACAGGGAGGAGGAGGCAGCTGCCAGGCCTTCTCCCAGGCTTTCCGTGACATTCCCCGAGTGTGCTGTGAGATAAAAATCTCCCAGAGGTTTCAAGGAAGAGCTTAAAATCAGCGCTCTGACCAATGGCCAAAGCTGAAGAGGTTGCAGATGAGCCACAGTGTTACTTAATCATCATTATTATTTTTAAAAGGATCATTTCAGATACATAATCCTCTCGCCAAGACTCCTGGGTCACTCCTGAGGTGGGCACATGGAACGCGATGGAACCGCAGGTTCCCGGCAGGTTTCATGCGGGATGGCCGTCGCCGCTCGCCCGCGGTGCTGCGCCCCCCACCGTGGCTCCCCACAGCCGTGGGGCGGGAGGCCGCGCTGCCGAGGGGCTCCACGCAGCCCTGCCCGCTCCCGGCTCCCAGCCCTTCCCAGTCACAGGGCACACAGACGACGCCCGAGGCGGGGAAAGCCAAGCCCAAAAGCGCTCAGGCTGGGTTTAGGAAAGCGTGGCTGAGCGTGCTGGATCCGGGCAGGCACCATCCCGCTAGGCTGGCTTTGGCTTGGCTGCCGTATGTGCCGGGGGGGTTAAACCTGCCCAGCCTGGGCTCAGGCTCTGCCTCCATGGCCTGAGATGGCTCCCGGGCTCATCGCAGCTCTGGGATCGTGGGAGGAAGCCCAAGGTCCAACGGGCACCCGGAGAGGGGCCCTGCCGCCACCTTTGGCCTATTTCTGAAGCAGGCCACCGAAAAAAAAGGGGGGAAACTTCAACTGACTGCAGTGGAAAAACAAACCGCGAGCGCCCACGATGAATAACGGGAGGGTAAACATGCCAAAGTCCTGCCAAAGCTGCTGGATCAAAGGGAAATAACCCCCAGGTCCTGGTAGGCTTCTACAAGGCCTCGCACGAATCAACAGGGATTTGTTTTGATCTACACAAGCTCTGGGATAAAACCGGCCCAGCTGCACTGCGCGCAGTCCTGAGGGGACAGACAGACGCCCGTGCTCCCCTCCGGCCGTGCGTGGAAGCGAGCGGGGCGGCTGGAGCGGCCTCCCCATGGAGCCTCCCCATGGAGCCTCCCCACGGCCTAGCGGGGCCTTCCCCACCGGAGCCCTTGAGGTGGCGTCCTGCACGGAAACCCGGCGCCGCCTCTGGAGCTGGTTTTAGGCTGAGAAGCTTTGGTTTTCCTTGTCAGGAGCACAGGACCTGCTCAGTGTTACTGCAGGTTTCAACACACAGCACAAATGGGGTGAAGTGGGCTGCTCTAAATTAGCACCGTACATGTGTTAAATGTTGCCACGAATCCATGAAGGGATATTCTGCATGGCCAAACACCCCAAAGGCTCTCCGTGTGACCCACAGTAAGGCATAGCTTTAACCAGCAGAACTTGATTATTCCAGCTGTTTGTGACCAAATGATACTAGAAATAATCTTTGGAGCTCTTCCATTGACATGAATCTTTTGAAAACCTAAATTATTACTCATTCCTAACTGCTCACGGGAGGGTGGTTCCTATGCTGAGCACATTTACAGGCATCACAGTTAAGGCCAAAGAGGGCACCCATCCTGCTTGATGTTCAGGTCACTGCAGGCTGCTGAAGTCATCCGCTCGCCCCTGTGTCCCACTGAAAGGCACCAAGAAAGGGGAGGGGAGGAAACCCATCCTCGCTCTGATGGCTGCTGCAAGGAGGCACCAGCCGCACCGGTACCGGCAGTGGCTTATTTCCCATTCCTTTTGCAGCCAAACATTTGTCTGGTTTTTTTTTTTTTTTTTTCCCTTTTGTGGTCCTATCTTGCTATTTGCGAGAACCTGAATTCTGAACCCGTTTTCTTTTAGACTGACTTATTCTCTGCATATGCTTATTCTCTGCACACACTTCCTCATTTCACCAGTGTAACCTACAGCCTTTTTTTTTTCGTGTCTTATGCAGATTTTGTTAGCAGTGACCTACAATCCGACAGTGAAAAATTTTGATTAGTGTCACACTCTGAGACGATCTCCTTGGAATCTCATTAGGAAACAGCAGTGTAGCCAGCTCCCTCTGCGACAAGTACTTTTTTAGATGTGTCAGTTAGCCAGTTCTTAAAGCCCCTAATGTGTTCTGTTAGCATCACTTTGTTATTTGGAAAAACAAACAAACAAATTAAAATATAGTAGAGCTCTGCAGTTACCGCTGTCAGCCAAACTTGCGGCAGTG